GTCTTGTGTATAATATTTTTTTGAAGTGTCCAGACCAGTTGTTTTGTAGAAGCTCCCACCCTCTGAGTTTGTCAGACTGTTTCCTCCTGGGGTGGCCTGACTTGTTCTCAAAGAGTATCCTTATTCACCACAGAAACCAGGGGGCAACCACAGTGGTAGTCAAGAAAATGGACCAACCTCCCATCCCAGTCCTTGACTTCTGCCTCTTCTCCAGGGACTGCCCACCCTCCCCAGGCCAGGGCCATGGCAGTGTCGGCCCACACTTGGCCATAGCAGGCTGTGGACCCTAGTTCTGTGACCTTGGGCAAGTCACTTAGCCCTTCAAGCCTCATTTCCCTCATCTCCAGCAAGGGGATAATAATAATATGCGCCTCGTCGGGGAAGGGTTCCTCTGGGCTTGAGCATGTTCAGTCAAAGCTCAGGCCTGGCCCAGGGGATGAGCCCAGGAATGGCAGCTGAGGTCAGCCTTGGAGAAGAGTCAGGCAGTGTGTTCCCATTTCAGGGACTCAAGGGGGAATTAGATTGGGCTTTGCAGAGGAAGCAGAGCTGAGGAAAGATGAAGTCTCTGGTACCAAGGTGCCACTGTGGGAGCCGGTGGGTGTCAGAGGCCCAGGGGATGTCCATGGGAGGTGTCCAGTAGGCCAAGGGATGCTGGTGGCTCAGAGGAGAGGCCAGGGCTGGCACAGAGTTGGGGGCTTCATTATAGGAATGGGTGAGAGGGCCCTGGGGTAGGGGAGGGCAGTGCAGTTGGTTAAAAGTGAGGACTCTGAAGCCAGATGCCTGAGTTCTTGCCCCAGCTTTGCCACGTCCTGGTTGAGACACTTTGGGCAGGTGACTTGGCCTCTCTGTGCCTTGGTGTAAAAGTGCCAGATGTGTGAAAACCTCATGAGTGCCCAGCAGAAAGCCTAGCATGGGGTAAATTCATACAGGTGTTGGCTGTTATTCCTCAGAAGGCCCCGGGCAGAGACTGCCAGGGATACAGAGGGAGAAGGGCTTGGGGCATGCCTCCAGAGAAGGGAGGGTATTTCAATAAAGTAAACACTGCGCCAGGCATCTGCATCCTCTGACCTCCTCTCTCCCAACCCCAGATGACTTCCGGATCTTCTGTGGGGATCTGGGCAATGAGGTGAACGATGACATCTTGGCACGCGCCTTCAGCCGCTTCCCATCCTTCCTTAAGGCTAAGGTGATCCGCGACAAGCGCACGGGCAAGACCAAGGGCTATGGCTTCGTCAGCTTTAAGGATCCCAGCGACTATGTGCGCGCCATGCGTGAGATGAATGGTGGGTGAGGCCTCCCCTAGGGACGTTGGGTATGGCAGGCCTCTGGCCTAAGCCTGACCCCAAGCCTGACCTTGAACCCTGCATTCCCACAGGGAAGTATGTGGGCTCACGCCCCATCAAGCTGCGCAAGAGCATGTGGAAGGACCGGAACCTGGATGTGGTGCGCAAGAAGCAGAAGGAGAAGAAGAAACTGGGCCTGAGATAGGGTCTGTGGCCAGGCACCCGCTCCCATCCGGCCGGGCGCTGGCTCCTCCCCACACTTCTCTTTGGAAAACCCTTAACTATCCACCCACTCATCCTCCCCAAAACCAGTTTCAATAAATTTACGTTCATTTCCATCCCTGGCTGGGCTTGGAAGCACTCCATGGGGAGTAGGGTTTGGCATGTCCCCACCTGGGAATAGTGGGGAGCCTTGAAAGTTCACCCAGACAAACATGCACATGGGTATTTTTCAGTCCCTACTTGGGTGCCCACTGCATCTTGTCAAACCTCCTAAGTGCACACTGAGTGCAACTCATTCCACAGAGGAGGAAGTGGAGGTTTATGGCAGGGCTGAAGCCAAGCCAGGGCTCAGCCCTGTGGCTGCCTGACTCCAGCTTTTTTCTCAGCACCAGGGTAGGGGGTCTTCTGGGCCCTGCTCCTCTGGGCTCACAGCCTTCTAGGCTTTCATCCATTCAGGAAACTCTCACCAAGGGCCTGGACAGTGCTGGGGACACAGTGGCGACTGCATTAGTCCTGGGCCCTGTTCCCTCAGAGCTCAGGTTTGAGTGGCAGAAGATAGGTCTGCTGCCAGACAGTGACAGCCCAGAGTGGTCAGGCTTGGGATGGGGAGGCTGTGTGCTGACCTGGGAGTCAGGGAGGGCTTCCTGAAGGAACCACCCACTTCGGAGACCATTTCACTCTCTCTTCCAGTCTCTGCAGTTCTCAGCCTCTGGCTCTCTCAGATGTTTTCCACTTTCTTCACTCTGCCAAAACCCAGCCGACTTCTCTTGCTCTGTCTCTTCGTCTGGGTCTCTGTGAGTGCCCTCTGGTTCTTCTCTCTTTCTGAGTGACTGTAGCTCTCTGAGTCTCTATTCTCTCTCTGCATCTGGGAGTCTCCCCCATTCTCTTTTTCCCACCTCCAAGCTTGTCTCTGCCTGTCTGAAGAAGTGTCCATGCAGGACTTGAATGCCAGACTGAGAGCTTTGACTTACCCTGAAGGCAGCTGCAAGCCCTGAGAAGCTGAGACAAAGTTCAAGGAGGGGACTGGCATCACAGATCTGCACTTAGAAAGAGCCCTGAGACTCCCACGCTCTGGCTGGAGGGCTGGAAGGAGGCCCAGGCAGGGACCAGGCAAAGGGAGATCGCATGGTTCCTGCATGGGGAGGGGAGAAGGCACAGCCATCAGAGCCCAGGATTGGGAAGGGGTAAGAGGGGGAGGGGGGAAACAATGCCAAGGCCTCTCTGGGAAGCTGGTCACCCAGGAGAGGTGTCAAATTTCCTAAGTTCCCATCTTCCTCCCTTACTGCCCCCACTCTGACGTCACATTTTCCAGTCTGGAAAGAGGGGTGAGGGCCTCCCTCCCTGGCAGGAAGTGCCCTCCAGCCCCTACCACCTGAGCTGGACCACCCAGCCCCAGAACCTTCAAACCCCACCCCCCATCACTAGCCTTCCCTACTCCTAACTCCCTTCTACTCACTGCAACCATGGAGGCAAAGGAGGAGATGGGAGAGAGAAGGATTCCAGATTGGAGGGTTTTAAATGTGTGCCTTAAAGTCCTGAGGATCAAGAGGAAGCTCAATGGCAGGGTTGAGAGACAGATGGACAGAGATGGAGGAAATACAGCAAGCAGAGAGGGAGAGAAGGGGAAGGAGGTAGACAGATGAGAGATGAGAACTATGGATCAGAGACAGTACAATGGGAAGGAAGATGGGGAGAAAACCCAGAGAAAGATGGAGACAGACAGATAAAGAGCTGGGAGAGACATGGGGAGGGACTGCGTGATGTGACATCACTGGAGTCAGGTCTGGTGCAAAGAGACCCACAGCCAGGGACATCAACCCAGGGCAGAGAGAGATGGAGAGACAGAGAGACAAGACAGAGGCTGGCTTCAGAGAGAGGAGGCCCCAGGCCTGCTGGGGCACAGCAGGTCAGGACTCGCTTTGGGCCCCTGGGTTAGAGGGATGGAGGGACTAGGGATGCCCCAGGGCTCCGTGGCTCCAATGCTTGGTTCAATCCCAGCATCCCCCACACACCCGCCGTGTGACCTAGTAAGCGTGTGACCTCTTGAGGCCCAGTTTCCCTTCTGTAACATGGACAGAAGAGCCGTGTCCACACCGCTATTCCTCCCACCCCCAGAATGGCAAGTGGTTAATGATCAAGCTGGGTGAATACTGGAAAATGCCCAGATTAAAGGGGTTATTTTTAAGGGTAAATATTTACTTATTAATATAGCAGGATGGGTACAAGGCTCTGAAGCCAAGCTACCTGGGTTTGGGGTTGTCAGATGTAGGAAATAACAAGATAGCCACTTAAATTTGAACTTCAGATAAACAACAAATAATTTTTTAGTATAAGCATGTCCCGAATATTGCATATATGTATGTATATGATGTATGTATACATGGGGGGGGCGGTTCTGAATCATTTGAAGCAAGTTACAGACATAATAACACTTCACCCCTAAATATCTCAGTGTTCATTTCCTTATAGAGCATCTTTCATATGATACCATTATCACATCTAAGAAAATTAATAATTCTATAGCTCATATTCAGTTCATACTCAAATTTCCCCGTTTGTCCCAGACTATTATAGCATGGAAGGGCATGGACTCTGGAGATGAAGAGAAGCAGGAGGAAGCCACCTCAATTTCCCCTTTCATAGTAAGACTAGTACCTACCTCATAAGAGGATTAAATGAAGGCCCGTGGCACAGGTGGTGGTATGCAGTGAGCCCTCAGTAAATGTTAGCTATTATTATCACTGTTGTTTATATTGTTGGTGTTATTGTTATTATAATGGACACTCCTCAGGAGCAGCCCCAGAACGTGCTCCTCAAAGCCCTTCCCCGGCTTCCCGAACCGCCAAAGGAGGAGAACGCGACCAGGTCGGGGACCCCGGGTCAGCCTCCCCCCCCCCCCACCATATCCCCCCGAGTCCCCCTGCGGGTTGTGACGTCGACCGACCGGGGGTCTGGCCGGAAATCCCCCTTCCTGTTGCAGATAAGCCTGGCGCAGCCCAGCTGACCCCAGACCCTCCTCCCTCACCACCCCCTGTGTCGCAGGATCAAGCCCCCAAGGCGGAGAACCTGTCCACCCAGCCCCCAGCCCCGCCCGCATCATGCCGTAAACACCCCTCTGTACCCCTGCTCTCGCCCAGTCCGCTGTTCCCCAAGCTCCTGCCCAAATCCAAGCCACCCCCGCAGCAGGACAGCCCCAGCTACCCAGAGGCGAGAGGCGGCGGCCATCCCTGGATAGGGGCGCGGCTCGGCCCCGCCCCGGCCCCTGCAACTCGACCCCAGCCGCGACCCCCAGCTCTGACGTCTCGGAAAATTTCCCCCTGCCCAGGGGGAGGGGGTGCATAGTATGAAATGGGGCTGAGACCCCCGGCTGGGGACAGAGGAACCCGCCAGAGGTGAGCCATGAACTGGGGAACTTGGTGTCTAGGGACCTGGACTCCTGGGTCTGAGGGAGGAGAGGGCTGAGGTTCCTTCCTCTTGGTCTGAGAGAAAAGGACACTGGAGGCCGAGATTCCAGGGTCCTGGGGAAGGAGGGAGCCTGGACTCCTGGGTCTGAGGGAAGCAAGGGCTGGGGCCCAGACTTCAGGGCTCCTGAGTGTCACCAGTTCACCCTTTGCCCTTCCAACCCAGAACGTTCACCACGAGCATCCATGGACTCTTGGAACTGGGATGAAGCACCACCACAGGAAGTGCCCCCGGAGAACAGGCTGTCAGGGCTGGGTAGGCCGCTGGGGCTGAGACAATGTGAGTGGGGAGGGCGCTCAGGTAGGGGCCTCCGCTGACCCTGACCCGACCCTCACTTCCTTACTGCCTGCAGAAGGAGCTGAGCTCGGCTTCTATTTCCCTGAACCGGCGCTCCAAGGGGCCACGCTGACAGCCGACACACGCTGGAAAGCTGGCAGTGCCCTGGGACCCGTGAGCGCTGGGGAAGAAGGTGAGGGGCTGGGTCCCTAGGTCTGAGGGAGGCAGGGGGCGTGCCTGGACTCCGGGGGTTGAATGGGGGACCGGGCTGCAGGCTTGAACTCCCGAGGTAGGAGGAGGAGGAGGGGGCCGGGATCCTGAGTCCTAGGTCTGACTGAGTTGGGGCTGGGGGTAATAACTCTCAGTCCCGGGCAAATAAAAACTACTAGGTGAGCAGTTGAGGGGCGTCTATAAGCATCGCTCACACCCTTCCCTAAGCTGAGCTACGTTCTTGTCTCTCGCAGGGCTCCCGCAGCTGGACTGGGGCTCCGCACTCCCGCACCCGGAAGCCCCATGGGGGGCGGGTGAGTGCGTGCGGAGACGCGAGGGGACAGGAGGACTGGGGTCCTCCCCGTGGCTAGAGGTTTAGACTCCCCGGTCTTCGAAGGGGAACGGGGCTAGGACGGGGGACCCCTGTGTCCTCAAGGTGGCATGGCCTAGATCCGGGAGCCCGGGGCCCCAGGCGCTAGAGCTGAGAGCTGAGACTCCTAGAACCCCCAAGGGGGCGGGGGAGCGGGACACCTGGGCTCCCCTCACTTGGAGCCCGTTCCTTCTCACAGAGCACGCCCCTCAGGCTCTTCCATGGTCGGGAGACTGGACGGAGCTGGCGCGCACCGGCTCGGACCCTTGGAGCCGCGTCCCCCAGGACCTGGGCCCCGTCCCTGCCGGCCTGGGCCCCGCCCCCTTCGCCGGTTTGGAAGGGGCAGCAGGCCAGACCTGCACCACCTCCGCCGGCGGGGCCGGCTTGTGGTGGCGCGCCCAGGCCGCCGACTCGGCCAGCTGGGACTGTCCTACGGGCCCCGACGGCGCCGCCTACTGGGGCCAGGGCCCCGGCGGGGAGCCGCGCGCCGACTACACCACTGCGTGGGGCGGGCCTGCGGGCTCGGACCACCCCACCTCCTGGGACTTGGGGCTGCACGCGGACTGCACCACCGCCTCGAAGGGGTACCGGAGTCCAGATCTCACCGCTCCCTCCGAACCCAGCCAGCAGTCGGACCGCGCAACTTCAGCTCGTTACCCCAAAACCAACCACCGAGGTGAGAGGTCCGCGTGGCGGTCCCGAGGGAGGGAGGCCGCAGTCTAGTGAGGCGGGGCCTGGGAGCCTCAGGGGCGGGACCCGGGAAACCGGCGGGGAGGGGCGGGGCTTAGATGCCTAATCTCTCCAGAGAGGAGGGGGCGGTGGCCCTCGCAACTGAGTCCTGAGTGAGGAGAGGACTAAGACTCGGGTAGTCTTCTAGGGAGCAAGGGACGAGGACCTAGGCCCCTGGATTAGATGAGAGGAAAGAGATGAGGGTCTGGATGCCTGTGTCTCCGAGATGGGGCAGCCAAACTCCTAAATCTCCGAGATGCGCCCCCGGATGCCTGGGGCCCCGAGGCCAACTCCTGAGTCCCTAATATGGAGGGATCTGGATTCGTTAGTCCCCGAGGAGAAGGGGATGCGGCCTCCTGGGTCCTGAGTTGGGAAGACGTGGATCCTTGGACCTTCGAGGTGAGGGAGCCCGGAATCATCGAAGCGACATGGTTTGGGGCCAGGAAGCCTGAGTGTTCATCTGCCTCCACCCCCTAGGTCCCATTCAGCTGTGGCAGTTCCTCCTGGAGCTGCTCCAAGACGCGGCGCGCAGCAGCTGCATCCGCTGGACGGGCAACAGCCGCGAGTTCCAGCTGTGCGACCCCAAAGAGGTAGGGCAGCTTCCCAAACCCGCCAAGTTCGACCCCAGTCTCCTCTTGTTCAACCTGGCCGGGTCCCCGGCCCCTCCCTCATCTCAACCTGGATCGGCCGGACCTAACCGGTCTCCAGACCAAACCTGAACCCTGTCCCCCGCCCCGCCCCTCCACTGCCAAGCCCCGCCCTCCCTCCCTCTCGGACTTAGCCTGGCCTCCGCCTTAGGTGGCCCGGCTGTGGGGCGAACGCAAGAGGAAGCCGGGCATGAATTACGAGAAGCTGAGCCGAGGCCTGCGCTACTACTACCGCCGCGACATCGTGCGCAAGAGCGGTGGGCGCAAGTACACGTACCGCTTCGGGGGCCGCGTGCCCGGCCTAGCTTATCTCGACTGCCCTGGGTCCGGACAGGGAGCAGCGACCCAATAAAAACATCCCGTCAAACCTCGTCTGGCATGCTGTGTGCATCCTTCCCACTGATACTGACTAGACCTGTTAGGAATCCTAAGTGTGCACCATCACACGCACATCCCTCTGCCTGTGTGATCCCAGGATGCCTCGTGACCAAGACAAACCCAGACCCTTAGGGGACCTACTGTGTGCTCACTGTGTAATGGGGCATGTAAAGGAATCAAACTCAGTCCCCGTAGGGCCTACTGTGTACCTGCATTGTGCTGGGGCTTGTAAAGGAATCACACCCAATCACTAACTTGCGAGTTTACCTACTGTGACCCCGTTGAAGAGAGAACGCAGGCTCCAAAAAGCGCTTCCTATGTGCCCTCCCAGTGATAGGGACCATCACAGAATTAGACCTAGTGCTTGCCCCCCAAAACCACTTACTCTGTTTCCCCACTCCAAGCTGGAGTACAGAGAACTCAGGACAGCCTACCCCATTCTGGGAACCACTGAACCCCTAAAGAGAGGCTACTGAGTGGGCCTCCTGTGGGCGATGCTGGGGATTCAGCAGTGACAAGAAAACTCTGGACCCTGCCCTCAAGAAGCTCACGGTCCAGTGAGGAGACAGACCCATCACTAGACAAGGACAGCCCGGAGTGGTCAGGGCTAGGATGGGGAAACTCCGGGCAGTTGAGGGGGCTCAAAAGAAAGGACCTGGCCTAGTCCCGGGCAGATGCAGTCAGGGAAGGCTTCCTGGAGGAGTAAACAGCTGATGTGAGAAGTCAGGTAGGCAAAGAATATTCCAGGCAGAAGAAACAGCATGAGCAAAGGCCTGGAGATGGATCTGACAGCACTGTTCAGTAAACTAAAATATCAGTGTGGTGGGAAAAGGGACCATGGATTAGGTCACGAAGGATCTGTGCACCATGGTAAGGAGCCTGGACTTTGTTCCAAGGGCACAGGGGAGCCATGGAGGGGTTAAGCAGGGGAAAGATTTGGGCTTCAGGAAGAGCTCATTGAAGGGGGTCGACTGCAGGCATAGAAACAGGCAGTTCCACAAACAATTGCAATACTAACAAACATGGAATGTGTGAGAGGCCCCTGACCTGGTTAAGCCTGAACACTGCACCCAACATAGTATGTGGGAAGCTGTGAAGGCCAGACAGAGAGGAGGAATGAAAGGTCTCCTCCACAGCTCCCTCTTCCAGTCCTCAGAAGGCCTTTTATTCACACAAGAAATTCACTCATTCAACAAATATTTATAGTGCATCTCCTATGTTCTGGGCACAGTTCTAGGTGCTGGACATCCAATGGCAAATAAGACAGACAAAAATTCCTCCTTTACGATCTTCTATTTTATCGAGGGAGACAAAAAGAAGGAAATACAATAAAAGGAAGGATATAGTATATGAGAAATAAGTGCTACGGAAAAGTAAACTAGGGAAAGGAGATAGAGACTGACAAGATGGCAATTTTAAATATTTGGCCTGAGAAGGACTCACCAAGAAGATGATATCTGAGCAAAGACCTGAAGGAGGTGAGGGAGGGAGGCAGTGGCAAGAAGAGCATTCCAGGTCAAGCAGACAGCAAGTGCAAAGGCCCTGAGGGGGCAGTCAGCCTGCATGTTTAAGGAACTGTGAGGAAGCCAGTGTGGCTGGAGCAGTGGGAGTAAGAAGAGGGGTAAGAGATGAGGGTATGAAGGGGCCAAACTGTGTAGGTCATTTGTAAGTACTTTGACTTTAGACTAAAAGAGTCAGCCCAGAAACCAGGGGAGGGTTCTAGGCCAAGGAAGGCAAACAATCTGACTGAGGTGTTAACAGGGTCCCTCTGGCTGAGTGGACTGATTGTGGAGGGCAGCAAGGAAGCTAGGAGGCCAGGGAGTGGGCTCCTCAGTCCAGGCTGGAGGTGCTAGTGGCTTGAATCAGATGTGGCAGAAGATTCTGGATATATATTTTAAGGCAGAACCAACAGGATTTCTTGATAGATCAGCTATGGGATGTAAGAGAAAGACAGGAGTCAAGGACAACTCTGTGACCAGAAGAATAGAGTTGCCATTTTCCGAGATGGACCAATTTCAGCCAGGCCCTTAACAGGCTCAAGCTAACTCTTAACCCCTTCTCTCTGTGATGAAGGACTTTCATTTCTGAGCCCTCAGCCACTCAAATCTTTGCTTATTTGTGTCTTCTGAGGTTTAAGGAAAAATGGTAATGAGCAGGAAGTGGAGTCTGGCACTCCTCATAACGGGACAAATGATCCTGAGAGAAAGACTGGTTCATTTTCAGTTCCCTAAGAATTGACCCCGTAATAATCATAATGAGGGTAGCGATTTTTGTGTTTGGTTCAGAGATGCATCCCCAACCCGAACAGAAGTACCTGGCACAGAGTAAGCGTTCAATAAATAGGTTCTGCATGAACAGAACACTTCCGCTTGGCTATTTTCCCCAGGCCCACTCTCCAGCCAGCCCCAGGACCCAGAACTCCTGTCTCCAGGTAAAGACAGGTAAGCGACGAGAATCTATAACCCGGCTGCGTCTCAAGTCAAGCCCTAGGTCGGAGCCCTTCAAAGTGCCACTTAAACTCACGATTGGGCCAGGAGTGATGATGAACAGGCATCCTGCCCAATAGGAGCCCGTAGTTCGCACGGATGGGCGTGGCCTAAGTGGCTTCGGGGCCCGCCTCCCTGTGGGCGCTCTAGCCGCACGTAAGACTCCCCTGCACTCCGGCTCGCCCCGCTTCCGGCCGGTCCGAATTCCGCTTCCGGTCCGACGCTGGCGTCTTTGCTGAGGGTCACATTGAGCTGCAAGCAGCTTCAGGGGCGTCTTTAGGTGAGTGTCGAGGGCTCGGGCACCCGGGGCCCCATCCCGGGGGACAGAGCAGCCGGACCCTAGCTTCCTCGAGAACGAGGTGGGGTTTCCGGCCCGCGGCGTCCGGCCTCCCCGGGCCCTGGGGTCCTGTTCTGTTAGTAGTCGTAGCCGACGATCATTTAGTTCTTCCCGAATGCCAGTTAGCATCCCAGGCGACCTATATTAATTCATCTAATCCTCCTTCCAGCCCTGTGAGGTAGGGCCTGCCTGTGATTAGCCCTTTCTGACAGTGAGGCATCTGCGACTCAGAGGTACTAAGCTACTTAGCCAGCGACCAGGGTTTGGGCTCGGTGCTCATCATCACCGGGCCGCAGGTGTGGCCCCCGCGGCCTGCCTGGGCCCTGCCCAGCTCCATGGACTCAGGCCCTCCTCCTCCTGGGACGTTGGAGGGGCCGCAGCGTCATCCGCGATCCGCCCTCACTCCGGGATAGCGGGTCGAGATCTCGCCCGGAACCACTCCCGACCGCGCCTGTGTCCCTGCGGCTGGAGCTCTGTGCCCCGCCTCCCCACGGCCCCCGCCGTCCGAAAGACTCTTCCCTGGGGCTCCATCACTACTTTGGATCTCTTAAATTTAACACTGGCCTGCTCACCTCTGTAACCCCGCGACTCCTCAAATTCTCTGGAGTAGAGGCAGATTCTGTCAGATTCCCTGGCAAAAACTGTGTCGCCTCATAAGAGGGATTATCGTAGAGATTTTTAACCCCGGGTCCACAGAATCGGTGAAATTCAAGGGGTGCTAGTACCTGAATGGGGGGAAAGTTACATCTGTGTTTTTACTAGTCTCTAATTGAAATGTAGCATTTCCTTCCGTTAGGAATGGAGGCAGTAACCTGAGTAGTATTAGCATCATCTGTGACTTTGTCAGCACCCAAAATCACAGGTCATCTTCTATCACGTTATGGTTGCAGATGCCGCAAAGTATCATTGTCATTGATGGTTACTTCATAATTGTGGTAGTTAATCCTCAGCTACATGTAACTGGTTTTCTTTGCGATCCTATGCACTTTTTTAATGCACTTAAACACGTTCTGAGAAGGGGTTCATTAGACCCCTGAGACGTTCATGGCACAAAGAGATTAAGAACCTCCAAAGTGTAGATATGTCTCTGATTGAGTGTGGCGCCCCCACTCGTATGCTATATGACCTTGGGAAGTCACTTAGAAACCCTGTCCCTTGTCTGTGAATCAGAGAGAGTTCCTACCTTTTAAAGTGACTATAGGAGTAAAGTGTGTACCGCAGTGCCTGGCCTGTCGTAAGCACTCCATGAATGTTAGCTAATGTTATTTGGGGACAAATAAGGCCTGATTTTACTGCCAACCCTGCTGTGACTTCCACACTTAATATCCACTCCCTTTGCCTCTAGGAGTCAGCACCATGGCAGAAGACATTAAGAGCAAAATCAAGAACTACCAGACTGCCCCTTTTGACAGCCGCTTCCCCAACCAGAACCAGACCAGGAACTGCTGGCAGAACTATCTGGGTAAGCAGGACATGGGCAGCGGGGCGGGGGCGGGGGGCCCTCAGACCTTCCCCTGGTCCCACACCTCAAGTCACTCACCTCTTGCCTCCTCGCAGAGGACCTGTGCATCCGAGGCCTCTTCTCTTTTATTCTGGACATCCTACCGTGCAGGGCCCATGCCCCTCATCACCAGCTGTGTTCAAGATCTTGGCTAGGGTCACAAACTGACTTCTATAGTGATTTTTTTTTAAAAGATTTATTTGTGTTTGTGTGTGTGTGTGATGTAACATACATACAAGAAGGAAATAAAACGTAATGTGCAGCTAAATGAATAATTCTAAAGTGATTGCCCTGTGTAACTAACCTGGATAGAAAACTAGATGCTGCCGGCACTCTGAGCTCCCCTGCCCACTGCCTGCTCTTTCTTGAACACAACTCCCAACTTTCCCCGCTAGAGATGTGACCCCACCAACTTAGGGTGGTCACATTTTGCTTTTATCACTGCTTTTAGGTTTGCCCCTTTGTGAGCTTTATAACCACTGTGCATATTCTCTTGTGTTTGGGTTTCTTTGTTCGACGGTTTTGAGCATTTGTCCATGCCGGGGAACGGAGTGTGCTCATTTTCCTTGCTGTGCAGTTTCCCACAGTTTATCTGTGGACACTTGCGTGATTTCCACTTTGGGGCTCTTAGGAATGCCGCTACTGTAAACGTTCTTACAAATGTAATTT